GGTCAAGGGCTCAATCAAGGCGGCTATGAACACATTCAATGGGACCTGGGCTGGAGAACTGATGACCAGGTGGTGAGTGTGGTCACGGTTAATGGAGATGTGTGTCATCCTTTATTGTCTGAGCAAAGGATACAAGCAGAGTCAAGTTCAACACAGGCAACAATCTGCTGATAGACGATAGAAAAACTTCAGGTTGGTGGTTTTCAGTACTTGGATTCTGCATAAATTCTAGTTTAAACTGTGACTAATACTGCCATCTATCAACACCCTTATTTCAAATCATTTCCCAAAAGTGATGGTCACTTAATGTAAATAAATATCTCAAAATACACCAAGCTGTACACTTATGTTTTATGCATTTTACTAAGCTATACCTGAATTTGAAAATAAAAGGTAGGCATTCCTAAGACCTCAAAGCATCCCTGGAACATCCAAGTTTAAAATTCATAAGTCAAGGCAGAGGCTCCATGTTTCCTCCATACTTTGTGAAGCCTTTCCACGTGGTGACACAGGATAGACAGGAATAATGTCCAATATCGATCTGAAAGAAACAAGTGTGGGAGTGGAATACCAGTGTTGATCACCCAGTCTTGGAGTCACTCTGGGAAAGGTTTTTTTTTTAAACTCTACTGAAAGTTTACCCCACTATGCACCAGACTGAAAAATGATAATAAACCTCTTTAGAAAGGTATCTTTCTAAGCTATTGCATCCTTGTCTTCTTAAGCAGAACATCCTAAATGTGACTGGGTCTTTTCTTGATGGCTCAGGGTCCCAGGTAACAAATCCATCACTGTGCTCTGTTCTTCTTGGGAGTGGTTAATGCTGGGCAGTTATTTGTTTCTGTACAAAGTTCCCATAAAAGGCTATGCTTGTTCAGCTTTCCAGGACTGCTTTTAATGAGTCTGTTTTTACCCATGCTGTTTGCCACATGCAAACATGTGGCAATATGTGTCAATTATATGTGTCAATCTTCCTTCTAATTCACTGCTTATAATTTATGAGGGTGCAGATACTAGCCTCAGAGGTTTGTGGCATTCCAATGCAGAACAAATCAGCCGTGGGTGATAGCACATTATTTTTGCTTATTTCCATTTATTGCCTATTTTCCACAGAGGTTATACTGCCAGATAATTAAATTTTAAATAAATCAATCTTGCTTTATTTTTTAGCTAAAGTTTTAAAGTATAACATGTATGTAGAAAAATGCATAAGTCATAAGTCTACAGCTTATTTTAACAAACTGAATACGCCTGTGTTAGGTATATCTAGGGGAAAATCACATAATTACACCTGCTTTATCCTTTACAATGTATGCATCATTTTCCACATGCAAAGTTTGCAAAGTATCCTTTACCAAATGCATCATCTCACTAGGTAACCTCAACAATCTGTGAGACTAAAAGATTAGATATTTTCTGTATTTGACAAGCGTGAAAAGTGTGGCTTGGATATCTTAACTGATTTCTTAGATAACAAGGTAGTTAGCAAGTATGAATGCCAATGTTTCAGTGCAGAAATCTTTCCATTACACTATGAAATTTGCTCAGAAGATGCAAATACAATACTGTTGGTTCTTAATATCAAATTTTGGACAGGAGCCCAGCAGACAGTCTGTCAGCACCTAAGATCCTGGTGGCTGGCTGGGGTTGGTGTCTGCATCTGTTCTGGTTCTGATAAACAGGAGGAGGGGGGCTTAGGCAATCATGCCATTATACCAAAGAAACTCCTAGTTCAAAGTTTAAGATGCCTTGGCATTCCTATTTTTTTATCTCACCTCTTTCATTCTCTCCTGTCCATCTTTTCATCCTTAATACCGATAAAATAAACTTAACTGAAATTGAAGGACGGTACAATCACAATTTTTCATAATGATCCCAAAACTCATATTTGAATCAGTGATCTCTATCACTGTTTCAGATTACCATCCATTCTGTTGTTTAGTCACTAAATTGTGTCCGACTCTTTTGTGACCCCATGGACTGTAGCCCACCACCTTTCTCTGTCCATGGGATTTCCCAGGCAAGAATACTGGAGTGATTGCCACTTCCTTCTCCAGGGGACCTTCCTGACCCAGGGATCAAACCCCCATCTCCTGTGTATACTGCATTGGCAGGCAGATTCTTTAGCAGTGAGCCACCTAGGAAGCCCACCATTCATTCTAGAAAACCTCAAATAGTTTGAATTGTAATAGCGGTTCTTTTGAATAAAAATCCCCAATTACAAAAGTATAGAAGTTTCAAATATTTAAGCTCACCACAGGTCTGTCTTCCAGTTAGCTACAGGAATGCAATGTTTTATAAAATCTATCAAAAAATTGCTCAGCAAACAATCAAAATACAAAGCAGTGTGACAGGACAGCACCTTGCCTAAGTTCTATTTCGTAAAGCATAAGAAGTAGACTTGTTTCCAGACATGTGGATGTCTTTTTTTAAATGAAAGGTTCTGTAGGATTCAAACTTTCCAAGTGCTGCAACTGTTGGTATCAATGAAGTGAGGTGAGCTCTTGGAGGAAGATCTGAGAATTACACCCTGCTTGACAATTTAGGGTCGAAAGCAAAGTGCTGTTATTAAACCCTAACCCAAGGAGTCAAAACAATCACTAACACAATGAAACTATTGCACTGCAGATTAACCCATCATTATCAGAGCAAGCACGCCCAGAACCCTGAGATCCAGGGTGCAGTGGGGACTGGCAGGAAATCAGTCCTAGTGAGAAAGCAGGCTTCTCAACTCTGCTCCTGGGATATGACAGAGAATTCTCATACCAGACTCACAGCGCTGGTCTCCTCATATCCTCCTTTTTCATTTTTTTGTTAAGAAAATTCCATTTAACTTAAAAAAAAAAAAAAGAAAGCAAAACCAGTTCACCCATTTGTCTCAATCTCTCTACCCATTTTGGCAATCTACCCACAGCCACCAATCTGTTTCCTGTATCATGAGCTTGGTTTTTTTGGGGGGAAAGGGTGGATTTACATGTATGAGAGATAATATGCTATTTGTCTTTCTCTAATTTCCTTTAGCATAATGTCCTTAGGGTCTATCCGTCTTGTCACAAATGGCAAGATTTCATTTTATTGTATCCATTCAGGTCCGTTGCTCAGTCATGCCAACTCTTTGCGACCCCATGGACTGCAGCACACCAGGATTCTATTGTATGGCTGAGTAATATTCCACTGTGCATTTACACATTTTGCTTATCCATTAAGTTGTCAATGGACACTTACATTGCTTCCATATCTTAGCTACTGTAACCAATGCTGTGAAGAACATAGAAGTGCATATATCTTTTCAAGTTAGTGTTTTGCTTTCTTTGGGTAAATATCCAGAATTGGAATTGCTGAATCATGTGGTAGTTCTATTTTAAATTTTTTGTTTTCCATAGTGGCTGCACCGTCTACATTCCCACAAACAGTGTAGAAAGGTTCCTTCCCTCCACATCTTTACCACCACTTGTTGTCTCTCGTCTTTTTGATGATAGCATTCTGACAGATGTGAGGTTCTAGCTCATTGTGGTTTTGATTTGCATTTCCCTGGTGATTAACTATATTAAGCATCTTTTCTTGGACCTGTTGACCACCAGTATGTCTTTAGAAAGATATCTATTCAGATCTTCTGCTCATTTTTTAATCAGATGTTTGGGTTTTTGCTATTGAGTTGTATGAGTTCTTAACAGACTTTGGATATCAGCCCCTTATCAGATATATAATTTGCAAATATTTTCTCCCATTCCATAGGACACCTTTTCATTCTTCATGACTTCTCTTGCTGTATAGAAGACATTTAGTTTGATATTTGCTTTTGCTGTACTTTTGCTTCTGATGTTGGATTCAAAAAATCAATGCTAAGACCAGTGTTAAGGAGCTTACAGTCTATATTTTCTTCTAGGAGCCTCTTCCTGAAGGCAGAATTCCTTTTGGCAACCTCATTTCAGCCCGTCAATGAAGTGAGGCTATTCAATGGACCAACTCCAATTCAACTCATATTACCAGGTGCTGATTAATTCTTAAACTACTGACTGTGCCAAGCATTATAGAAAAAAGGGAGCCCTCTTGGAACTCAACAAAATCAAATTGTTGACTGACTACCAGTCAGAACAAATATACTGCTTTTAACAAATTTGTAAGCACATGGTTCTTTCCCATCCCCACCCCCACCTCCTAGAAGTTTGCCTCCAAATACAGAAGTAGCCATCTAGTCATCACTTAGAGGTCCGAATAGCCAGTGTCCCACGGACAAATCGTTCTGGGGCTCCTACCCAGGATAAACCAATTTCAGTTTACTGCTTGGAGGAAAAAAAAAAATGAAGTTTAACTCAAGCACAAAATTAGCTCTAGTATTATAGTATATAAAAACATACTTTCTATTACATCAATATCTATGTTTAAGATGTAAACTTGTTTGACTAGGGGAGAATGACAGTCACTTTCCCAAGCAGGTATAGGTGTCTATGGTTCTTTTTTAATTGTATGCTAAAAACCGAAAACTCTTCCTGACAACAAGACTAAAAATACTTTTCTTATCATCTTGCCAGCTTACATATTTTCTCATATTTGAACAACGCTGGGAAAAATCAGTTACATGTCAAAAAAGCAACTGATTTATTCATTGATCTGATTTGAAAGGAACTTTCTGCAACCAGTATGTGGTCCCCCTTAATCTAATAAAGCTCAAAAACTGAAAATTGTACAGTGGGTTCCCCGCCCCCACCTCCAAAAAAAAAGAAAGAAAATCTGACTCTTAGAAATTGAAGGCTTCTTAATGGTTTTATGGAAACATATCTTAGATGGGCAGGTTCAAGAAAAAGTACTTCAGTCTCTATTTTTAAACATGACTCAAGGCCCCAGGTTTTAAGAAAAGGAGTTTAACTTTTCTAGCAAAGAGCCAGTTGACAGCTCGAGGCGGCTGCGTGCTTGCAAAGGCGGCCAAAGACGGGAGAGGTTGCCGTCGGGGAAAGCTGGCGGCTTGCCCGTCCAGCCTGCCGGGTCCCAGGAGCCCCTACCTGCGTTCCTCAGCTTCTTGTTCCGATACACGGACAGGACCACCAGGAGGTTGCCCACGATGTCCACCACGATGGTGAAGATGAGGATGGAGGCGAGGGTGGCCGCCAGCCACGAGGGCCGCGGCCGCGCGCTATCCCCGCCGCCGGGCGCCGGCTGCGAGGCGTTGAGCAGCAGTGCGCTGCTGCCATTGCCCTTGGGGGTCCCGCCTGGCGAGCCCCACAGCCGCCCTGCCATAGCGCAGGCAGGGCCGGCGTCCGTGCGTCCCCAGAGCGGCAAGATCCCGCTCCGTCGCCTTTTATGACCCCGGCTCCCCGGCCCGCGGCGGCCGGACTCCGCACCTGCCGCCCCGCCCAGGACACCTGGCGCTGCCCGGGGCGCCGCTGACTGTGCGGACAGCGCCCCCGTGCGGGAAGCCCGGGCCTGCGCCCCAAGGGGACCCTGTGCCTTCCTTTTTTAATTGGAGCCTAATTACTTTACAATATTGTAGTGGTTTTGCCATACATTGACATGAATCAGCCACGGGTGTACATGTGATCCCCATCCTGACACCCCCTCCCACCTCCCACCTCACCCCATCCCTCCGGGTCATCCCAGCGCACTGGCCCGGAGCGCCCTGTCTCACGCATCGAACCTGGACTGGCGATCTATTTCACATATGGTAATATACATGATTCATTGCTATTCTCTCAAATTATCCCACCTTCGCCTTCTCCCACAGGGTCCTTGCACCTTCTTAAGGAACGTTGCTCTTTGGTCCAGGGACCCTTCATGCTCCATGAAACTGTGTCCCCTCTGGGGCATTTCCCCAAATCAAGGCCAGACTGCTTGGGCTCCAACCCTACCTCAGATCCGGGTACGTTAGATAACCATCATGTGCCCCAGGTTCCTTATCTATAAAATACGATGTTATAAAAAGTAACTCATCCAACCTCCTAGATGGTAAGAGATGAAAACCGGCTCAAGGAACTTTTGCAGTGAGGTGTTGCACCATAACCCCTCACCTCTGCCTCATATGCTGCAAAGGCCATCCGTAATGGTGATCATCTTTCCCCAAAGGCTGTTTTGGGGGCTTCTTGAACACTGTTCTTAAAACGACAAGTTCTTGCCCTCAACCTCTGTGCACGCCTCTACCTGCTTCCACTATGTAGGAAGAATGGAGAAAGGTGTTGGCTTGAATGATGGAAGGTTCCACTACGAATACTGGCTCACAGCAATCATAAACTCATTGCGCTTTCAAATATCACGGATTAAATAGATTTAAAGGAGCCACAATCCTGCGTCTATAGCTGTTCAATTCAGGCAAGTGTTCTCTACCAGACTTCTCCCAGGAACAATACAGACCTAAATACCTTTACCTGCCAAATCCCCATGCTCTCCCTGCAGACATCTGCAAGGCACACACTCACCCTACAGCTTTTAAAAACAAGCCTCCTTAGACCACTGGAGGTATCCAAGAAATCTGCAACCTCAATATGTAACTACCAGCCACCAGGCTGTGGGAATGATTCCAAAACAGTGTGAGATGAGGCAAGCCAACAGCACCCTGGAACTTTTCAATCAGCCAGCCAAAGACTGATTAAATTATCCAGGAAATAAACCAATTCACCTGTATCCTAGGTTTTACTTTTGTATCTTTTCTGTATCCAGGCCTTAAGGGTACAGTCTTTGAAATCAATTTCCTTTCATTCGTGAATGTACTTGTTCAAGAAAAATTGACATACTTGGCTCTATCTTTAAAATACAGTCCTTGGCTTCTTTTTGTGCTAGTAAATAAGGTAAGGGAGCAGGTCCGAGGATGTGTGCATGCCAAGCTGCTTCAGTCATGTCAGACTCTTTGTGACCATATGGACTGTAGCCCCCCAGGCTCCTCTGTCCATGGGATTCTCCAGGCTAGAATACTGGAGTGGGTTGTCATGCCCTCCTCCAGGGGACCCTCCTGACCCAGGGATCAAGCCTGAGTCTCTAATGTCTCCTGCTTGGGCAGGAGAGTTCTTTACCATTAGCACCACCTGGGCTTGTAAGCACTCTCTTGCAATACCTCTCCTTTTAAGTACTATATAGCTTCCAGCCCTGGAGAACCGGAGGGGCATGCTGCCTTGTCCCACCTGCTGTTTTTGTTGGTTTTGACACAAAGAGGACAGTTTAGAAGACCTCCTTTTGGTCCAGGATATCCTCCCAGAAGAAGCAACATAGGACCTGCCTGCCTTTCATTTTTTTCTTGCCCTATCCTTTGTGATAGAGGAGCTTGGATGCTGTTACCTGTGTGAAAGGAAAGGGTCAGAGGGGCATCCTTTTAGCTTATGCTAGAACATGTTGCCAAACATCACACTTTGCAAGATGGTTCTCTGGAGCATCCTTAGAATCCTGCTTTGGGGACTGGTATTTTTATATGGAACACGGGGCCCACAGGGCACAGGTAGGGCTGCCCTCTGTTGCCCTCCTGCCTGAGGCCCCTTATTCGGAAGCTGCTAGAAGAAGCCCCTGGCAAGCAACAGAGGCCAGGTCCTAGGATAAGCCTTGTGGATATGCTGGAGTCTTACCAGTGTTCAGCTGACATCCATGAGCACCCTAGGGAGAACCCTAGTAAGAAGTCCTTACTATCCAAACGGCAGTGAACACTGTGGGTGTATATATGAGCTAACAGAGGTGAAATGAGTCCATGAGTGAGAGCATAGAGGAGAGAATTTGAAAACCAATAGATACTTCAAATGAGCTGAGTTTTTTTTTTTAGAGAAATTTTAGGTTTACAGCAAAACTGAAGGCAAGGACAGATATTTCCTGTATACTCCCCTGCTATCTACACATTCTCCCCCACCGTCAGCACCCCACACCAAGGTGGTACTTCTATTAACATTTATAAACCTACATTAACACTCCATTCTTACCCAAAGTTGTAGTTTACATTAGGGATTTCTCTTGGTGGTGAAGTCTGTTGGTTTAGACAGTTGTATAATGACATGTGTCCATCATTATAAAATCACGGAGTATTTTCACTCAAAATCTTCTGTATCCTACCTGTTCCTCCCTCCTTCCCTCCAACCTCTGGCAACCACTAATCTTTTTTTATTGTCTCCATAGTTTTGCTCTTTCCAGAACATCCTCTAGCTGAAATTATACAGGATGTAGCCCTGCCAGAATGACTTCTTTCACTTGGGAATTTGTTTTTAAGCTTCCCCCAGGCCCTTTTATTGCTTAATAGCACCTTTATTTTTAATGTTGAATACTATTCTATTATTTAGATGTACCACAGTTTAGTTATCCATTCACTTATGGAAGGGCATCTTTGTTGCCGCCAAGATTTTGGCAATTGTGAATAAAACTGCCCAGTTGTCCCACAAGCATTGTACATGCACTCTTACCAGTAAACTTAAAGCCAGCTGTGACAAACATCGTAAGTAATTATACTCTGTGATAACTCCACTAGACAATTTTTCTTCCATCCTGAACATTGGGGTCAAAAATAGTTGAAGCAAAACCACAGATTTCCATTTAGCATTCTTTAAATTTCTTATCCAGTTCAGCAGTATGATCTGAAAGTTATCAAATGTTTTCCATATGATTTATTGCATATTCTTTCCCATCCAGGAACAGCTCAAGGACAATATTATTATCATTTCTCAACAAAAACCACCTTCATTCTTTATACCTTCTCTCACTGACACCACACATTCTACTTGCTTTGCACATTGAAATGCTTCCCTTATCATTTTAGTAGCTGTAATTACATAATATTGTATAGCATAGCCTTTTGTTAAGGTTAAAAGCCTTAACAAAACCGAGGAGTAAGCAATTGAATTGTTACACCTGCATCTACTTATTGGTGAACTTAAGTACATATTCCATAACTTCTAAAAGCTTATGTTTTTCTCATAGCATAATTTCTCTTTAATGTGGTACAAAATGTGTATTTAATAAATCCAAACATCTTTTAAAATTCTACTAATTAACCCAAGAAAGACTGAAGTCAGGCAAAGTTGACTGTGTTTTTATTTTGAGGACAGAAGAGTACCCTTCAAGCTTTCTTTTAAGCATAGTTTTGTTCTCTTGGGTCAGGATTTTGAAACAGTATTTTATCAAACTAGCTTTCTTTAACTGCATATGCAAGGGGGGGGGGGGGGAACAGTTTTGGAATTTCAAAAGAGTTTCATCTTGACCATTTTTTCCCGAGTTTAAAGAATACCATTTCATAAATCATTAAAAAAATGTTTTTCTCTTTAGTCATAATCTCATAGCTAAAATTTTTCTAATGAATTGAACCTGGATTTCCCATTTTACAGAAGACAACATAGATGCCAGTCACACAAAGGGAATATCTGCTCACACACCATCAGATAGGAGGCTCACAAAGCCGCCAAGAGGATGATGGGAAGGGAATCAAACCAATACCTCCCACAAACGGCCTTCAGAACCAACTGGCAAAACGCGCGAACAGCAGTTTGCCCTCAAAAGAGAAGTTAGCCGGGTGCACACCGGTGGACTTACTCAGCCTTGGAGCTTGTCAGCTCGTCCGGACGCATGTTTCTGTTCCAGCAAGGAAGAGAGAACGCTGGCAGCCGCTGCAGGGCAGGGGTGAAGCGGGGAGGATCCCCGAAACAAGTGGTTTCAGCAGCTGCTAGAAACGTCCACCGAAGACCTCCTCCCGGGCCAGTGAGCCAGGAGCGGGGGTTCCTTGCAGCCATCCCGGCGCGGCGCGTTGTCCTGGCCTCGACTGAATTCAGGAAAACCCTGAAGTCAGCTCAGCAGCCCCACCTGAGGCACCAGAAACTGTAATTGAAAGTGTCTGGGCCCGGCTGCTCACCCATCAAAAGCCGATAAAGAGGCAAGGTTGGTGGAAAGGAAAGCTAGCTTTACTTCCGAGGCCAGCAACAGCGGGGAGGGGGGCATGCCTGCAAAGGCCGAGTCCCGCCACTGATGATCACTGGGCAAGAGCTCTTCTAGATGGAGGGAGGGGGCTAATGCAGGAACAGCGCCGTCAGCTCTGCCAGTCATCTTGAAATTGGTGCTGTGGTGATCTGGTCAAGTGTAGCTGTCTTCAGTTCCAGTATCGATGTGTTTCCATTTCTCTGACTCCAGCTCTCAGAGTTGTGGCGGCTTATGTCATGGCTACAGTCTGGGCATCATGCAGTTAAATTCTTTCACCTGGTGGGATGCCCACAGAACGGCTCCAAGGAGATGGCTCAGAATATCATCTATAGCCCTTAAGGACGAACGAAATTAAACATATTCTTTGGCTA